AAAAATAGCCTGAAAGGACCTTGAACATGAAATCACAGAAGGAATATTGATCATTTAAAACAACATCTGACATTTTTAGGAATTTTTATTTGACAACTAGGCCAATGCCATTAAATTCTGGGTGCCTACAGGTGAATTCCCACTTTGCTGTGACCTCAGGACACACAAACACAGACCAGGGACAGTACAGTGAGCACCAAGCTCCCCAGCCACCATCTGGAGAGCTAATGAACAATCAAGGGATCCCAAATTAAACAACACAACTTTCCCTTAGAATCTTTAGGACAACACTGTCAAGTCCAATCTATTCCCTCAGCCTCCAGAATCAATTTTTCAAACTTTATGACAGGTCTAATAGTTCCCACCTGTTTCTCCTGCCTGACTTTTGACTGGCACGTTCCCAGCCAGGGTGGAAATGCAGACAAAGGCCCCTATTGGGCTCCGGCTGTTCCTCCACTGTGAGCTTGCTCAGCCATTAAATTAATTCCAGCCCCCTTTTCCCCCTTCCATCCCTTCATTTTTTGGGGGGGTTATGGAAATTTGGGGAGGTGGAAAAGGGAGGTGAAAGTTTGGCATCCAGTTGGTGGGAGAGGTATGAGAAAATCCAAAGCGGCAGGAATTAAATGCTGAATTTTTTGGATAATTTACTAATTCAACAATTTACAACAAATCCCATTCCTTAAGTTCTTGAGGTGTCTGTATATTTTTAACCATCAAAGCTTGCTAAAATTTGAGACAAATTTGGGAGACCCTACTTTGGAAAAGGGAAATAAAAGTCTGGCATCCAGTATGAGAAAATCCAAAGCGGCGGGAATTAAATGCTGAATTTTTTTGGATAATTTACTAATTCAACAATTTACAACAAATCTCATTCCTTAAGTTCTTGAGGTATCTGTATATTTTTAACCATCAAAACTTGGTAAAATTTGAGAGACCCTATTTTGGAAAAGGGAAATTAAAGTTTGGCATCCAGTTGGTGGGAGAGGTATGAGAAAATCCAATGTGACAGAAGTTAAATGCTGAATTTTTTGGATAATCTACTATAACAAATCCCATTCATTAAGTTCTTGAGGTGTCTGTACATTTTTAACCAACAAAACTTGGTAAAATTTGAGAGACCCTACTTTGGAAAAGGGAAATAAAAGTTTGGCATCCAGTATGAGAAAATCCAAAGCGGCAGAAATTAAATGCTGAATTTTTTTGGATAATTTACTAATTCAACAATTTATAACAAATCCCATTCCTTAAGTTCTTGAGGTGTCTATACATTTTTAACCATCAAAGCTTGCCAAAATTTGAGACAAATTTGGGAGACCCTACTTTGGAAAAGGGAAATAAAAGTTTGGCATCCAGTAGGAGAAAATGCGAAGTGACAGAAATTAAATGCTGAATTTTTTTGGATAATTTACTAATTCAACAATTTATAACAAATCCCATTCTTTAAGTTCTTAAGTGTCTGTATATTTTTAACCATCAAAACTTGGTAAAATTTGAGAGACCCTATTTTGGAAAAGGGAAATTTAAGTTTGGCATCCAGTTGGTGGGAGAGGTATGAGAAAATCCAATGTGACAGAAGTTAAATGCTGAATTTTTTGGATAATCTACTATAACAAATCCCATTCATTAAGTTCTTGAGGTGTCTGTACATTTTTAACTATTTTTAACTATGAAAACTTCGTGAAATTTGAGACAAATCTGGGAGACCCTAATTTGGAAAAGGGAAATAAAAGTTTGGCACCTTTTGGGAGAGGTATGAGAAAACCCAATGTGACAGAAATTAAATGCTGAATTTTTTTGATACTCTACTAATTAAACAACTTACAACAAATCCCATTCATTAAGTCCTTGAGGTGTCTGTATATTTTAAACCATCAAAACTTGGTAGAATTTGAGAGAGTCAAATCTGGGAGATTCTAACAGAGTCCTTCATGCAATGCCTGATTAAAGTGCTGCAATGTTTTTCTGGGAATCCTGAATGATCAAAGAGTAACTGTTTTTTCTTTCAGCAAAGAGAATTCTTTTTCCTGAGATGTTTTTTCCTTTCATTCAGGACTGACAATGAGACACAAGCACCACACACTTTTCCTAACAAATTCACATTGGTTCCTTTGGAAGCACCTTAAAAAACTGACAACTTTTTCCCTCAATAAAAATTACCTGATTTTTGCATCGATTTCTAGATGCAAAATTTGCATCAATTTCTAGATTATGAAATGCTATCATTTAAATCTCAAGGTTCTTCAGTGAGCTGCAAATCACAAGGATTACATTATTCCATTACCCATGACAACAGAGTATTTACAGCATCAGCCATAATACCTAAGACAATTATTTTAACTTTATAAAAGAAAGGTCTTTTTGGAGGATAAATTTAAGATAGATTATTAATAAATTAATAATTCAAATTATGATCTGCCCAGGACCATCTTCCTAGCATAAGATGTGTAGAGTCAGGATTTGTAGTTTACAACTTACCTGAAAATTAACTATTTAAGCCTCAGATATGTAGAGTCAGGATTTGTAGTTCAGAACTTACCTGAAAATTAACTATTTAAGCCTCATCACGATGGGGGAAATCTTGAAGACCTACATCTGTGAGCACTTCATTGTATTTGGATTATTTCATATAAAAAACCAACTTTTAAACATACATGAAAAACCAAGACCACTTCTCTTATCTCCCTTGCCTTGATAATTAATCATTCATAAATTGGTCAGATTCCATTTAGCTTGTTGCAAATCAAATCCCAAACCTCTGAATTAAACACTTCATTTTACCAGAACAAACTGAGGGAAGAAACCTCTTGATTTATTCAATTATCACCAATTTCTTTACAATCCTCCTTTCAACCCTGTGGGCTGAACATGCTGTGAGCACTAAAAACGAAGAGGCAAATGCTACAAATAACTGAATTTCTATAAAATAACTCTCCATGGCCTCTTATCAACCTGGCAAGTCTTTATCTCTGCAAAAGCCACTGCAAAATCAGCTGCAGGATTAAATCTGGGGGAGAGGATCTGCAAAATTAGACAGCAACTTTTTGTCTAATGTGTGGATGTTTGAACACACAGGGAATGGTTTGGAACTGAAATTTGTATTTGTCCACAAATTGCAATTTAGGCTCTCAGGCTGAGAACTGAAGCCATTATCCTTGGTTAACTCTTCAGTGACAACAACACTCATGAGTATTTAATCTAGATTAAAGAAAAAAAATCCCAAACAAAAAATTCCTGAGTTTGTTTTTCACCTGTAAAATTCATTTCTGCGGATAAATTAACCCTGATATTCAAAACTAGCTGCCCCAAGGATTTACAGCTGCAGGCCTGGAGTTTCTGTCCTGAATGGCAACAACTTCCCCAAGACAGTTTTTTCCAGCAGATTTCCACTAAACACGACAGTACAGCCTTTGTGCACAGACTCCGGGCTGAGATTTAGTAACTGTGATTTTCCTATCACTTAATCCCATTTAAACTCCAATGAGGAACCTTCTCTGAGGTGTCCCACAGCTCATTCACAAGGCTCATCTGTGTGATGATGGAAGAACCTCTAGCAGAGCCCTAATCCATGTTTTAGGAGCCCAAACCAAGCACTGAAGAGCATTTTAGGGAAATATTCAGCAAAAGAAATGAGAGGAAACAGGAAGGTTAAAATTAGGGGCACAACCTGCTTGGTATCACTCTCAAGTATTGCTTGGTATTACCTCCTTGGTATTGCTCTCAAGGAAGAGGCTTAGAGCAGAACTTCCACTAGAGAATGTATTTCATCTCCTAACTATGAATATTTATTAAATCAAATGTTCTTAGGGTGATGTTCAGAGGAATAAAGATTAAACTCCACTAGCAAGCAAAAAGTTGTCCTACTCAGCTTTCCTCACCCTTTACGGCTCAGTATTTTACATATTATCAAATATATATATATATATATATATATATATATAAAATATATAATTTATATATTATCAATTAATATCCTGTGAACACAAAGTTCTTTACTTCATGTCCAGTTTCCAGCTTTCCTCACCCTTTATGGCTCAGTATTTTACATATTATCAATTAATATCCTGTGAACATAAAGTTCTTAACTTCATGTCCAGTTTCCAGCTTTCCTCACACTTTATGGCCCAGTATTTTATATCTTATCAATTAATATCCTGTGAACATAAAGTTCTCCACTTCATGTCCAGTTTCCAGCTTTCCCCACTCTTTATGGCTCAGGATTTTATATATTATCAATTAATACCCCATGAGGATAAAGTTCTTTACTTCATGTCCAGTTTCCAGCTTTCCCCACTCTTTATGGCTCAGTATTTTATGTATTATCAATTAATATCCTGTGAACATAAAGTTCTTAACTTCATGTCCAGTTTCCAGCTTTCCTCACCCTTTATGGCTCAGTATTTTACATCTTATCAATTAATACCCCATGAGGATAAAGTTCTTAACTTTATGTCCAGTTTCCAGCTTTCCCCACTCTTTATGGCTCAGTATTTTACATATCATCAATTAATACCCCATGAGGATAAAGTTCTTTACTTCATGTCCAGTTTCCAGCTTTCCCCACCCTTTATGGCTCAGTATTTTATATATTATCAATTAATATCCTGTGAACATAAAGTTCTTTACTTCATGTCCAGTTTCCAGCTTTCCCCACTCTTTATGGCTCAGTATTTTATATCTTATCAATTAATATCCTGTGAACATAAAGTTCTCCACTTCATGTCCAGTTTCTCTCTGAGCATTGTGTGTTACCACAATTATGAATTCTAAAGTTCCTTACTTCGTGTCCAGCTTCTCTGTGAGCATTGTGTGTTACCACAATTATGAATTCTAAAGTTCCTTACTTTGTGTCCAGCTTCTCTGTGAGCATTGTGTGTTACCACAATTATGAATTCTAAAGTTCCTTACTTTGTGTCCAGCTTCTCTGTGAGCACTGTGTGTTACCACAATTAAAAATTCCCAATCAGAAAACGGACTCAGGACGCCCTGGATCCCCATCTTACCCATCCAGAAGATTCATGGTTGTCGTGGTCACCTCAGTGAAGAGAAGGATCTTTCCCAGCTTCTTGGTGTGGAGATGCTGCTGATAGGTCTGGAGGCTGAAATGCTCAGAGGAGAAGCTCCCCATGTCCGTGATCACGGGCACCAGGGACGGAGTCACCTCCACCTTGGGCTCGAGGGATGGAACAAACTTCAGGGACACCTTGCTGGACGCCCTCAGCCCCTCGGCATCCACGCTCCCCTCCAGCCATTTCAGGAAAGCAAGATGGATCTCCTGTGGGCAAGGGCAACAAGATCAGAAAGGCAGATCACCCATGTGAGGACACACCAACATTCTTCCAAAACTGGTTTTACTCCAGCAATCTTCTGCTTCAAAACAGGGAAACTTTTCCTCCTCAAAAACGAAGCTCTGCTGCACGTACTTGACACTCTCCTGGAGTCGAGACCGCACTCCTTTGAAGATTAATTAAGCTTAATTTGTCCCTGTAGCAGGGATTGTAGTGCTCTTGTTGGTAGTGCTCTACACCCTGAAGCAAGGAGTGCACACATTCATTTTCACTGTGCTGAGAGGCTCTGCTGGAGGAAGCCCTGCAGTCCAGCACTAAGGGCTGGATTGAGCCTTTTCCTGACCCAGAGATGGGGCAGCTGAGAGGGGTTTTAAAACCTTTTACTCCATTTTCAGTCTCATGAGAAGGGTGAGACAATACAGATGTTATAATTCACTCCATCACAATCAGAAGCTAATTATTTCCTAATTACAATGCACTGGAAGTGTTTCTTGGCCTATCAGCTTTAGCCACACCATGCTGGAAATGCCTTAAAACCAATCATCTAAAATTACCCCCTGTGGGTCCCACTGCAATGCATCTTTCACAGTTCTGTTTCTCCAGATTATCCAGTCTTTTTTACAAAACCATCCTTTGAAACTTGTTTCCAGCTCCATTTCTCTCTCAGCAATGTCTGTCCTATTCCAGGGCATTTCTAAGGCAGCATTTCTGGTCTCAAGGTTTGCACACAGATGCACACACTGTGTGAGCCTTCTGTCAGGCTTGCAGAATTCCCTACAAATCCATTTCCCACAACTAAGACTCAATTTGAAGGCCAAATCAGCAGTTTGAAAAAACCATTTAGTGATTCCTCGGTGGAATATCTGCTAAAGCAGGTCACACCTTCAGCTAAAGGATGATTTACTGCTGCCAGTACCCCTGTGGTGACACCCTGCACCAACTGCTCCACATTCACTCTTTCTGGAGATAAATTCTGCTTTGAGGGGTTTGATATGACATGTTTGCCACAACTTCAGGAACAGCCACAAACACAGATTCTGGGGCTTTTTGCTCCGTGTGCAGCTTGAATTTCAGACAGTTGAAGTTGTCTTGTATGTGATAAATGAAACCACAAAAAATTGTGGCTTCAATTCGACTGGAAATAAGGCACTAGTGATGCTTGCCCTCAAACTTCCAAGAGGAAGAGATCTGATTTTTAAACAAAAATATTCCAAAGCAAACCCACACCCGCCATTCCCACCAGTGCTGTATCTGGGAACTGGAATACATTTCCTGTGAGTGCTGGAGGCAGGGCTAAGCTCTCCTGCCCTTGCAGATGTGCCTGAGCTCCAGCCCAACTCCTCAAAAGGCACAAACGGAGAGCAAACTCCCCACAAACAGTTATCCCCCCAAGAACTGCTCCTCCTTTCCTCGTCCCTCTGCTCTGCCTGGAGAAGGAGTGAGAGCAGTGCTCCTGTTCCCAACACCTTGCCCTGGATTTCCACCCCCAGGAACGACCTGCTCTCAAATTCCACAGCCTGTGTGTCAGCCCAGGGGCAGCACAGGACACAAAGGAAAGAATAATTTTTCCCAAATTCTGTCAAGCCCCAAGTCTAAGAGAGGCTCAGCAGCTAAATTTTAGTTACAGAGAAATTACTCCTCATATCTTGCTTTCTTAAAGCTCCCTCTGAATATTTTCTGTCTAAACTCTTGGATAAAATATCTTTAAATATTTCCTTCCCCCCCTCTCCTTTTTTTTTTTTTTTTTTGCTCTGCATCATAAATGATGATGTGATGATGATTAAAGGTTTTGTGAGCATTTCTTTGACCTGCACCTTCACTCAGAGCTTTGACAGAATAAATAAATTCCTTACACATTATCCTACTTGTTTTACATACCCGCAGTAACTGATTGGCTGTAACTGATATTTAGAAAAATTACAGCTTTCATTTCTGTCAGGGAGAACATGGAAAAACTCTGCTTAATCAGAGAGTGTTTTCCTATTGCTTTCCAAACACAGAAATTCACTCAGCAGCCCTGGATGTGCAACTCCTACACACAGAAACAGGATTTTAACTCACCCAAAGTAAAAACTGGGTTTAACTCACCAAGAATTAACTCACCTAAGGCTGGGTTTACAGTCGGACTGAAATAAGTCATTTAATCTCCTAAAAACTCATTTCATCTCTCTAAAAATTACAGAATTTTAGAGAAACAGGATTTTAACTCACCCAAAGTAAAAACTGGGTTTAACTCACCAAGAATTAACTCACCTAAGGCTGGGTTTACAGTCTGACTGAAATTAAGTCATTTAATCTCCTAAAAATTAATTTAATCTCTCTAAAAATTACAGAATTTTAGAGAAACAGGATTTTAACTCACCCAAAGTAAAAACTGGGTTTGACTCACCAAGAATTAACTCACCTAAGGCTGGGTTTACGGTCTGACAGAAATTAAGTCATTTAATCTCCTAAAAATTAATTTAATCTCTCTAAAAATTACAGAATTTTACAGAAACAGGATTTTAACTCACTCAAAGTAAAAACTGGGTTTGACTCACCAAGAATTAACTCACCTAAGGCCGGGTTTACAGTCTGACAGAAATTAAGGTACAAAATAAAGGTGACCAAAGTGTGATGACACTGTAAATAAATGATAATTATGATGTGTTTTTGCCACACAGTATTTCCTGGCAAGAGCAAACCAGCACCTATTTCTGTGTGCTGTTCCATTATTACAAATATGCCCCACAGTTCCAACCATTTACTCTCCTGAGTGAATTATTTCAAGTGATTTTCCCCCCATAGATTTTGGGTAAACTTCTTGTTTTCACTGCTTCTAACGCATCCTGAAGTATTTAAGAATTGTTTTATGTGTATAATTCTCCAGCTAATTTCCACCATAATGCCTATGTGCTTGCTGAGCTGATCAAAAATATGAACACATCATCAAGGAGGGGGATTTTTACAAATTCCTAAGAAAATATGGAGACAAATTCCTAAGAAAATTCCAAACAAATTCTTAAGAAAATTCCTAACAAATTCCTAAGAAAACACGGGTTTAGGTGTTTAACAAAGTTTCAAGTACTGGTCACAGTAGAAAAATTAATTTTTTACTGTAAGAATTTCCTTCACACGAAGTTCCAGGAACAGGGATGCTGAGCATCCCACAACTGGCCCAGCAAAAATGACATTATTGTGTAATGAAATGAACATATATGCAGAGTCAGGGATCATTTCTGCCCCAAGTCCACTGACCAGGAACTCAGTCCTGTCAGAACTGTGGGATTTCAGCCCAGGACCCAGCTGGAATTCCCAAACTCTCCTGGTCCAGCAGCATCTGCCGTTCTGCAGCAGCCCCTGGTGGCCACTGCCACGAGAAGGGCTGGGAAAAAACGTAATTTTAATGTATTGTAAAAGAAAAGTCACCCAAAGCAGAAAAGCACTGCACCCACACAAACTACCCAACACCTCCCACTAATAAATTCTCCACACTCCAAAGCTCAATTGGAATAATTTAAAGAGAACCGAGGAGAGATTGGGAATTTCCAAAATTCCCGCAAATACAAAGTTCAGCTGCTGCACACCCAGACAGTAATTCCAAAATTCCAAAATTCCCAAAAACACAAAGTTCAGCTGCTGCACACCCAGACAGTAATTTCCAAAATTCCAAAATTCCCAAAAATACAAAGTTCAGCTGCTGCACACTCCAGACCCTCAGCTCCTCCACTCATCAGCACAAATTCAGCACAAATTGTGCTAATTGTAACATTATGATGTTAATAATCATTTATTAACATAAATATTAAACTCATCTACAAGTTTAATGTTTTCAAGAAGAGAATGTTTCTACCTGTACTTTAAATGGTAAAAAAAATGTAATTTTAATGTGATTTAATGTAAATTTAATGTAATTTTAATGTGTTCTGAAAGAAAAGTCACCCAAAAGCAGAAAAGCACTGCACCAACACAAACTACCCAACACCTCCCACTAATAAATTCTCCACACTCCAAAGCTCAATTGGAATCATTTAAAGAGAACCAAGGAGAGATTGTAATTCCCAAAATTCCCAGAAATACAAAGTTCAGCTGCTGCACACTCCAGACCCTCAGCTCCTCCATTCATCAGCACAAATTGTGCTAATTGTAACATTATTATGTCAATAATCATTTATTAACATACATATTAAACTCATCTACAAGTTTAATATTTTCAAGAAGAAAATGTTTCTACCTGTATTTTAAATGGTAAAAAAAATTTTAATGTAATTTTAATGTAATTTAATGTAAATTTAATGTAATTTTAATGTGTTCTGAAAGAAAAGTCACCCAAAAGCAGAAAAGCACTGCACCAACACAAACTACCCAACACCTCTCACTAACAAATTCTCCACACTCCAAAGCTCAATTGGAATAATTTAAAGAGAACCAAGGAGAGATTGGGAATTTCCAAAATTCCCAGAAATACAAAGTTCAGCTGCTGCACACTCCAGACCCTCAGCTCCTCCACTCATCAGCACAAATTCAGCACAAACTGTGCTAATTGTAACATTATTATTTAAATAATCATTTATTAACATAAATATTAAACTCATCTACAAGTTTAATATTTTTAAGAAGAAAATGTTTCTAACTGTGTTTTAAATGGTAAAAAATGTAATTTTAATGTATTCTGAAAGAAAAGTCCCCCAAAGCAGAAAAGCACTGCACCCACACAAACTACCCAACACCTCTCACTAATAAATTCTCCACACTCCAAAGCTCAATTGGAATAATTTAAAGAGAACCGAGGAGAGATTGGGAATTTCCAAGCACTGAAATTGGGAATTGAAACTGGGAATTTCCAAGCACTGAAATTGGGAATTGAAATTGGGAATTTCCAAGCACTGAAATTGGGAACTGAAATTGGGAATTTCCAAGCACTGTACCCAGGGCCACAGCAGGAGAATTCTGGTTTGTCAGGCTGAGAGTGGCACTGACTGAGGAGCTCTGAGCAAGAGGGGAGATG